TTCTAGTTTCTGTTAATATTTTTTGGTCCTGTGTTGATTCCACTCTGTTCAATTTACCAAGCAATCTGAAAAACTGAGTCATCCTGAGTCTATCAGTCTTTGTACTCACAACAATACAAATTCTATTAAATGGATCATCTCTGGCTTACAAGACAGGGAATGAAATATAAAAACCAGGAGGCAAATATAAGCATAATTCAGGGCAAAAGGTTCCAGTAGGCCTGGGAGAATGAACCCTTAAATTGGGGCTTTTTGTAGAAATTTTTATTGCTTTATTGTTTGCCAAAATAGTTCTTTCCCTTTTAAAAACTATGTCCAAGAAACAGGGAAGGGCATTTGGGGACGAACATGAGTAAAGGAGGCTGATATACATATATGAAAATGTCACAGGAAAACTCAATGTTTTGTACAATAACAGTTAATTTTTAAAAAGAAAAAAAATGATGAAAAAATACCCAAGAATAGAAAGTATAGGACTTCAAAGGGTTGGTGGTAAAAGAGCTATCTGATAGACTTAAACCTATGATCTCATATATAAATGCGCACCTTGTGAAATAATTTCCGGTTTCTGACGATCATACACAAAAGGTTATATTAGCTACATCTTTCTGTTACTTAGCAAACTAATAGCACCCAGCACTATATGAACTCCTTTATTAATAGGCACCTCACTTCTCACAAGACAACACATTTCCATTATGCTTCTTTTTTCTTCCATTTGGAAATTGATTAAAACTTATGCTAAAAGTAAACAGGATCATATAGTCATGCAGTTCTACAAGAATTCATCATTCCATTCCCTTATGATCCAGACAGAAAATTCAAACTATGAGAAAAAGCACAACTTTCCTCAAAGTTGCATACTTGGCCCGGATTAGAACGCGAGTTCAGGGTCCAGTGCCTTCTCTATTTTCTATGTACAAAGGAACAGACCCAGCTTCACGACTTGCTGCCCACTGACTGTACTACCAAAGCTCCAGTTTCATTGTTTCTCACTCTCAGAACATAATATTGGTTAATTAAACATTGAGCCAGAAAAATTCCAATGGTTGAACTGGGTCAGGGAAAAGTGGCTCATGCAAGGAAAATAGTACTGCCCACTCATTTTGGCTTATTCACTCTGGTGACTAACACTCTCCTGGAGCTCATGATATCTTGTTTGATTCCACCATACATTACATGGAAACTCTTTCACTTTTCAGAATGGGATGATACATCTTGAGGACACACAGGAAAGAAAGAGAGAGGGTAACTGTAAGCCCTTCAGAGTGGATTTCTAGTCACCAAAACATCAGTTAACTGTTTTCTATGCTAGACACTCTGTTAGTACTTAGTCACAAGAAGAAAAAACAGGACTTAAAGAAGAACGCTAGAAATTTGTGGCATGGGAGAGCATGTCTGATGAGGTACACTGACGAGGTATACAGTTAACGCTAATACAAGACAGACAATATCTATCCTCAAATCTCCCATGAGTATCTATTAATAATGGCCCTTCCACTCTATAAACTGATGAAGAAACTGACCTATACTCTTCCCATTAAGCCACTTAGGCAAGAAAACATGGGTGGAGCCAGTGCTGTAAAGAAAGCAAAGAAAAATAGTTTCTGCTTCAAAATTAAGCGTTAGCTCTGAATAATGTCTACAAAATATGCTGTACTCTCCTCATATGGCATCCAAGTGGAGCAGATCAAGAAGATGTCTGTCTGAAGGAGGGCTGTGTGACTTGCCATAGGCTTCTAGGCACATTTATCATTTACTTCTCTCCTGGGTCTAGGGACTTCCTCCCTAGCTTCTCTTAACATAAACTTTCAAAGAAGAAGTCAATGTTAAAATGCAATTAGATGACCATCCTCTGTCTTCTTCTTTTCTAGAGCTTGCATTAACTTACCTAGCCATCACTTTCTATCCAAACAGTTGTGGAAAATGAGAAAAAAATGTGAACTTGAAATAAAAAAAATGTGGCTTGCTGTTATGACTTAAACACATACTAACTAAATTATCTCTAGCAAGTTACATTTTTCTCTGAGTTTTTTCTAGTTGGAGTGAAGAAACATTACAATTATCTGAAAGAAATACTATAAAGACATTTGTCAAATTCTCTCATCAAGTTTCTTTTGCAGCTATCACCATCCTTCCAAAGGTGTTGCCATTCCAATCTGTACAGTTTAAAGCCTCAGATTCATATTTAAATTGACACCACGCCACATGAGAAATGGAAGGAACTGAGCTGTTTATCTAGAAACACAAAATGGAGAGAAACCTGTTCTCCAATCTTCAGATCTCTGAAGGACTATCACAGATCAGAAAGAATAAGTTGCTGTAGATAGTCTGAGAAGTTATCACTAGAACATCTGTGTACAAGTCAGAGAAATATTAAATTCAGCTGAACAAAAAGAACTTTTCACAATCAAGAATCTCCACATAGATAGATAATGGGCTTTTTCAGAGAGCAGTAAAACCTCTACTCTGAAAGTACTCAGACACAGACTGGAAGGATGTTTTAAGATGGAGTCAATTGTAAAAGAAAGATATGATTCATAAAACCCTATTATATGTCAAACATTGGGCTGGATCCTCTACAAGGATCATATTTTTTAATCCTCCTAGCAAGGGGAGCCATTCCCCCTCCTTTTTTTTTTCAGAAAAACAGAGTTTTTCTGAAGTTCCATTTTTCTCACTGGTCTTAATAGTGATTTTATAGGTGGGTGGGAGGAACAGCTCTTTCTTGCCTCAGACCAGTTAGTATTGATGTAAAATGGAAATATTGAGCACATAATACATGCAGCATTCCAAACGGGAGATAAATAGACACCGGACTCTAAAACAGCTGTCTTTAACTCTATTGCACTATCCAGAGAACTGGGATGAGAAAGCATACTCTTTTAAGTCTTAAGCTAACCCCAAGAGACACGGCTCATTCTTCTATTTTAAAACCCATGTAATTCACCAACTTCAAATTTCTGTAGTTTGTGATGCCTTGATAAATATGCTGCCTCCTTTCTGTTCTCATAGCCAAACCCACAGTTTCAGGGCCTTGTCCACTCTTTGCAGGTAAGCTTTCCACTTCTTTCATTTTCTTGTTTTAATCCAGCTGGCTCACATTTGATTGATTATGCTTCATAAAGTATAGATCTAACCTTTACTTCAGCTCAGGAACTCACAATGGCTATATAATAATCTGCCAAATCAAACAGAAACGCAGGCATTCAAAGTCTTCAGTAATTTACCATCAATTGAACTTCCGCTTTTCCATAACTGTGCTCTAAAATCTAACTCAACTTCCTTTCACATGTTCTGAGCTTCCTTGCCTTCAAGCAGTTGTTCATGTTTTCTCTGCTTAAAATCCCTTCTCTCCTCTGTCCACCTGTTGAAATCCTATCTGTCTGTACTGCATCATCTATCTTAAATAATAACACTTACCATTTATTGAGTGTTTATTTTTGGTCAACTACCGTGCTAAGCGTGTGCAAGTATTTTATGTGGATTATCTCATTTAATCCTCACAATAACTCAGTGAGGTTGGTACTATTATTATCTCCACTTTCCCCTGGAGTAAACTGAAGCTCAGAGAGGGAGAAATGATTCTTTTTGTCCAAGGTCACATAGTTGATGTATTGTGGGATGAGATCTGAACCTAAACAGTCTCACTCTGAAGCACTAAAAGGTGATACAATTTCAAAAATAGTCAGCTGGGCATAATGGCACATGCCTATAATCCCAGCACTTTGAGGTTAGAAGCAGGAGGATCAGGAATTCAGGGTCATCCTCAATTACATAGGGAGTTTCAGTCCAGCCTGATCTACATGGGACCCTGTTTTGAAAAAAGATCTTCAAAATCTATCAAAAAACCTTTTCTGTTTTTTTTTTTTGTTTTTTTTTTTTTTTTTTTTTTTCCTTTTAACCTCAGCTAACCTGTAACTTTCTATGTAGAGCAGGCTGTCCACCATCTCACAGAGATCATCCTGCTTCTACTTTCTGAGTGCTGAGTTGTTGTTAGTTAGTTGTCTGGCACATGTTGTAAGGTTCTTCCTTGACAATTTTGGAGCATTTTGACTGTAACTTTAAAGCTCATCTTGTGCAGTATTACTTGTATTCTTATACTCAGGATGAGTCTAATAAGCTCCACAGGCCACAACCTATATTGCAGAAAGCTCAAAACCTCACACTTAGTGATACAAACTGATACATAGTACTCAGTTGGCATGCTATGCTGAATGGAAGGTATGCTGGGATACAAGAGACAGGAGATATTCTGAGGAGATGATATTCCACAATTTTACATATTCCACTACCCTACATGACATTGGCCATAGCTGCCAAACTTGCCCCAACCGATCCAACAGCCTATTTTCCCAGGCTGGTCTCTGGCCATTTTTCTCCTCCCCACACCCGGCCAGTTCTTGCAGCTGTCTGGGCCTTGGCCAGTGTTTGGGGGTGAGGCCGGATCAAAATATCACTGCCCTGGGCTCAGCTTCCAGCAGCAAGTGTTCAAATGAAACTCAGTCACACTGGCGAGGGGGTTGGATTGATAGCCCCCACACAATGCCAAAGTGCTCTTCACACAGGTCCTGACTTGCCCGGGCACCACGTGGGTGGGCTACTAGTTCAGCTTCCAGCAGGATGCTCGGCATATCCAATCCATTGCCTCCTCCGCCCCTCTGTTAACTCCTAGCCTCCTTCTCTTCCTTATCTCAGGATCCCAGATACACAAGATTATTGAACAAGTCCGGGCATGTTCCCAGCTTCCATCGGGCTCCAGTAGGAATCTTTACAGGCGGGAACTGACAACTCTCAAGACTTTAAGGATATCAGCCCATGTTTCTGACATCTCAGAGAGTGCTCTCGGAACACAAATGAATGGAGTGACTGATAGCTACGGAATACATTCCCTGACTTTGTAGCACGCTAACGGGGATATTTGACATGGTCCTATAGACATCTCTAAGTGTTACAAGTCCCAGCTGCTTTACCACGCCAAAGAGTGCTCCCACACTTACCCTGTCAAGCAAGATCAATGGATGGATGTCACATCGGGATTCCCAGAACAAACGCACCTCACCACACACAAACCAGACACCCTGCCCAGCAACCGCCCCTCAGCCTGCATACCGCTCTCACAGTAGATGAAATGCGCTGCAATCAAGTTCTGCTGGACTCATTTCACTTCCACATGTAGCAACAACAGATCAAATCCACCCTCTATTTCTTTCATGTTATGCATACTCCCACCCTCTATGAGGCCCGCAGGATAACTATTGGACAACTTAATGTGTCTAGGTGTGGTTATGCAAATAAATCCCGCCCCTGAGAGGGGGCACTGTCAGGCTGGCGGGTAAACAATGGCCAAGCCTCTGCTAAGGCTTGAGTAGCCAAAGCTCCAGGGACTGAAGAGGAGGTGAAAGGGGGAAGGGCCTGGGGTCTGTTGGAAGGGGGGGAGGGAGGAGGGAGGCAGGAAGGAGCTAAATGCAGCTCAGCTTTTCAAAGTTCTGTGTATGACTTAGCAGGTTTGGAGCTCCACACGGAAAACAAATGTTGGAAAAGTTAGGATTCTCAAACACATGGAAAAGTCACTTCCCAGCTCTGGCTTTGCATATTTATACTTCAGAAGAGTGAATGGGATTTTGACAGGAGACCTGAAGCTGGGGTAAGGCCTCTAAAAATGAAGGGAAACTGAACTCTAGACTTTGCTCTGACTTCAAGCCAACCTCTAACCTCCCTTGGATCCCTCGGTCTCTGTTTACATACGGCATTATTACATAAGGTATATATACATAAATATGCATATACTATATATAAAATCCCTAAGTACCCTTCCCAGAATGAAACTTTGGAAGCTTATGAGTCTGTGATTTCACAGTCAGCAGTAAGAGAAGTCCTGGAATGTTGTCCTTGACACTGAAGAATTTGCAGAGTTGTTGGGAAGATAAAACAGACAGGATGTGGTCACAGAACAACACAGAGTATAAAAGGAAGGGCTGAGCTAGACCTGTGCTGGGTGGCAGGAAATAAGAGCGAAAAGTAAAGAAGAGTATACAGTCAAGGAAGATAAATGCTTGTCAATGGATTAGAAAGTCTCAGAAGATGTGGAGAGGAAATAGCATCATGGATAGGGAGAAAAGGAAAGCTTGAGCTGAGGTATGGAGGAGAGAACCAAGAAATATGCCATGATCAATCTGTGGAGTCTCACCTAGTCTGGGCAGAGGTCATACACCAGGTGTTCAGAGTAAAGTCAGAGACTGAAATCCTTTGGAGAAAAAAAACAGCTAATCAGCACATAGGTCATACATACATATACATATATATATATATATATATATATGTGTGTGTGTGTGTGTGTGTGTACTTTCTCCTTTTATATCAAGTCTAACTTAACTGGGGTATTTTGTAAAAGTAAAAATGATTGCTGTCCACATTTAATCTGTGAGACATGCGAATCCCACAGGGCTTATATCCTGGTGGGGGATTGGCTTGTTTTATCATGGGACTATGCTCATTAACATGGCCATGTGGCCTGGTCACCATCATGGCTGTTGACCTCACCAAGAGGGAGGCAAACATGTGACCTGGTCTCCACCTTGGTTGATGACATCATCAATATGGAGACAGTCACATGGCTTGGTTGCCATCTTGGATAGTAACGTTTTCAAAATAGTGAGGCCTGATCTGGTGCTGAAGGTCTGATAAATTCCAAAAGATCAGCTAGTCTTCAGTCTACAGCAGCAAGATGAACTCACCAGCCAGCGAGAGAGAAGGCAAACAGCAAGAAGCCAGGTGTTCTCTGACTTCGCCTTTTATATGGGCTGCCATCAGAAGGTAATACCCACATTTAGGGTGTGTCTTCTGGCTTTAGATGATCTAATCAAGAAAATCTCTTTCATTTCAGTTAATTCCAGATCCAATCAAGTTGACACCCAGGATTAGCCACCACAAGTCCACCCCTTGTCAACTTGACACACAATAGCATCTATGTCGTGCTTAATTTTCAAATGAAAACAATGTTGAGGTCATAATTTGACCTAACATGATATAACTATCCCATAATACAAAGACCAATGCATTATATATCTTAGAGTAGGTGATAAGGTCTCTGAAGAATGCTTAGTCCTTTAGTGTCTCATAACCCAATATAATCATATAGGTTCACAACACTTAACCACTTAACACATCTCAATTACACATTCAAAAAAGAATAACTCAAGTATCTGCTTAACATATGTGTATACATGCACAAGCCTATTCTTAACCAAATAGGACAAAAATGCTCATGTCAATTATAATCCACATTTCTGCAACTGGTCACGTGGCCTAAGTTGGTATTTGTAACTACCTTCCTCTACAACCCATTCTGTATTTCCTCCACCATCAGCAAGCACCTCTGCAGGTCTTGACCCTTTCCCCTGAGGAGTGACCCATACTTTCATCCCTGAAGGGTCTGGGCCATTTGTTGTCCTGTTTGGATTGGGTTGTTGCAGTTTCCCATTGACCTTAAGCACAGGACGTGGTAACACCAAAAGTCGCCTTAAGGAATCTTCTGCCTTCCAGACATAATCTTCATTACCTCCATTGTGGAGAACAAGTCTAATTTCCCCCTGGTAGTCTGGGTCAATCACCCCTCCTAATACTGTTATTCCTTCCTTAGCCTGCTGACTTAAGGGCATCAGAAGCCCAAAGTGTCCAGGGGGAAGTCTTAGCTTCCAGTTCAATGGAATGTTTATTGTCTCTCCTGGCAGAAGCACTCCCTCTTCTGGAACCAAAACATCCAAGCCAGTAGAGTGCAAAGTTGAGGGTACAGGAAGCAAAAATTTTCGTAGAGGGTCACCAGGGGTGATAGTGAGTGGGAATCATTCCCACTTCCCCCCCATGATTCCTGGACCTGTGAATCCTGGCTATAGGAGAAATTGTACCATATATTGGACACTGATTCAAAGCATACACTGCCTTCTGGAGGACCCTGCCCAGCCGTCCAGGCTATTGCCACCTAATTGGCGCTGTAACTGTGTCTTTAAGAAACCATTCCATCATTCTATCAAGCCAGCTGCTTCAGGATGGTTAGGAACATGGTAAGACCAGAGGATTCCATGACCATGGGCCCACTGTCGCACTTCTTTGGCTGTGAAGTAAGTTCCCTGGTCAGAAGCGATGCTGTGAGAAATACCATGACAGTGGATAAGGCATTCTGTAAATCCCTGGATAGCAGTTTTGACAGAAGCATTATGTGCAGGAAAGGAAAATCCATAACCAGAATAAGTGTCTATTCCTGTAAGGACAAAATGCTGTCCCCTCCAAGATGGAAGTGGTCCAATGTAGTCAACCTGCCACCAGGTTGCAGGCTGGTCGCCATGGGGAACAGCGCCATATGGGGGGCTCAGTGTTGGTCTCTGCTGTTGGCAGATCTGACACTCAGCAGCAGCTGTAGCCAGGTCAGCTTTCGTGAGTGGGAGTCCATGTTGTTGAGCCCATGCATAACCTCCATCTCTGCCACCATGGCCACTTTGTTCATGGGCCCATTGAGCAATGACAGGGATAGCAGAAGAAAGAGGCTGACAATCCACAGAGCGGGTCATCCAATCTACTTTATTATTGAACTCATCTTCAGCTGAAGCCACTTTTTGATGAGCATTTACATGAGACACAAGTATGTTCACATCCTTTGCCCATTTGGAGAGATCTATCCACATACTTCTTCCCCAAATGTCTTTCTCACCAATTTTCCAATCATGCTTCTTCCAAGTCCCTGACCATCCAGACAAACCATTGGCTACAGTATATAATCGCACCTCTGGCCATTTCTCCTTCCAAGCAAAATGCATGACCATGTGCACTGCCCGAAGTTCTGCCCACTGTGAAGACTTTCCTTCCCCAGTGTCCTTCAGGGTTGTTCCAGAAATTGGCTGTAATGCCGTAGCTGTCCACTTCTGAGTAGTGCCTGCATAGTGTGCAGAACCATCTGTAAACCAAGCCCTAGTCTTCTCTTCCTTAGTCAACCAATTGTAGGGCACAGCCCATGAAACAATAGGTGCATACTTGCGAACAGGGGGCATCATAACAGGAGTAGGAACCATAGACATTTGGGCAACTTCTTCATGTAACTTCCTTGTGCCCTCCAGGCCTGCTTGGGCCCAATCATGTATATACCACTTCCATTCGATAATAGATTGTTGCTGTGCATGGCCTACTTTATGGCTTGGGTGGTAAGATAACATCCAGCACATGATGGGCAGCTCTGGTCTCATGGTAACTTGATGGCCCATTGTCAAACATCCAGTATCCACTAAGGCCCAATAGCAGGCTAAGAGCTGTCTCTCAAAGGGAGAATAATGTCCACAGATGAAGGCAAAGCCTTACTCCAAAATCCCAATGGCCTCTGCTGCGATTCCCCTATGGGGGCCTGCCAGAGACTCCAAACAGCATCTTTATCTGCCACTGATACCTCAAGCACCATCAGGTCTGCTAGATCATATGGCCCAAGGGGCAGAGCAGCTTGTACAGCAGCCTTGACCTGTTGAAGGGCCCTTTCTTGTTCCAGGCCCCACTCAAAGGTAGCTAGCTGCCTTCCAAGTCACTTGATATATGGGTCGTAGTAACACACCCAGATGAGGAAAGTGCTGCCTCCAGAATCAAAACAGGCCCACCAAGCGTTATGCTTCTTTCTTGGTGGAGGGAGGGGCCAAGTGCCACAACTTATTCTTCACCTTAGAAGGAATGTCTCTGCATGCTCCACACCACTGAACTCCTAGAAATTTCACTGAGGTAGAAGGCCCTTGCATTTTGGTTGGATTTAATTCCCATCTTCTCATGCACGTATACGTAACCAAGTCAAGACTGTCTGCTACCTCCTGCTTACTGGATCCAGTCAGCATAACATCATCAATATAGTGGACCAGTGTGATATTTTGTGGAAGAGTCAGGCAATCAAGATCCCTTTGAACCAAGTTATGGCACAGTGCTGGAGACTTAATATACCCTTGAAGCAGGACAGTAAAGGTATACTGTTGGCTTTTCCAGCTAAAAGCAAATTGCTTCTGGTGGTCCTTATGAACTGGTATCGAGAAGAAAGCATTTGCCAAATCAATAGCTGCATACCAGGTACCAGGAGACATATTAATCTGCTCGAGTAAGGAA